CTAGCCCAGCCTCTGCTGGCTCGGGCCCTGGACAAGCTCTCCGACCCCCCGCCCTGTCTGCTGCTCTGTACAATGGGGCTGCAAGTTGCCATCCCAAGGGGCTGCTCCAGAGAGCGCTCCCGTGTGCCCCTAGCAGACAGATGAGCACTTGGTGAACATGAATGGTGGATAATCGGTAGGGGTTTGGGCCCTGGCGTCTGAGCTGGGAGGGGCCACAGGTTTTCTGGGGTCCAGGCTGTCTGTCCGAGGCCCCGAGGCAGAGTGGGACGCCAGGTCCACTCTCTGCAGCCTGTGGAGTGGCTCTCCCTCGGTCTGCTTGGTGTGTTTAGCGTCTCTGTAAGTTTTAGGGTGCGTAAAGTGTTCTCACCCCGACATGGAGGACCCTCAGCTTTGCATGCGCGTGCCTTGCGGGCCCGGAGAAGTCTGTGCTTTGCCCAAGCACACACAGCGTGTCTGGGCAGAACCTGGGCTCCAACCCAGGCCTTTGTGTGCCAGCCCGGGGCTGGGGTGAGCAGGCTGGGGGTGTGGGGGTGGTGCTCACAGTGCCCGCGTGGGGGCCAGCTCTCCCGGCAGCTGAGCGGGCGGGAGCAGGAACTGGAACAGGCTCGGCGGGAGACGCAGCGGCAGGTGGAGGCGTTGGAGCGGTCTGCCCGCGAGCAGGAGGCGCTGGCCAGGGAGCGGGCGGGCCTGGCCGTGCAGCTGGCCGCCGCCGAGCGTGAGGGCCGGGCTCTGTCGGAGGAGGCCACGCGACTGCGGTAAGGCTTGGCTCTGCCCGGCCGCCCTGGGGGTCTGCCCGGGGCGGGGGGGGGGTGCCCCGTGACCTGCCGTGCTCCCCCATTGGCCCACGGCAGTTACTTAGAAGCCGGCCTTGCTTACCTAGCTATGCTCGGGGTCCCCAGGGGAGCGTGGGCCCCGCAGGGCAGGCCGGCTGGCGCCCAGCCCACGGCTGGGAACCGCAGTTTCCTGGGGCCCAGGAGACTGAGTCCTGGGTCTCACGGCGGCGTGCCCTGCAGCTTGGAGAAGGACACCCTGGAGGGCAGCCTGTTTGAGGCGCAGCGGCAGCTGGTGCAGCTCGAGGCTCGTCGGGAGCACCTGGAAGCCGAGGCGCAGGCTCTGCTGCTGGCCAAGGAGACCCTGACTGGTATGGGGGGCTGTGGGTGCGGGGGAGCACTGGGCCCGGGCCCAGACTGTAAGCTGTCAAGGTGTGCTGGGAGCCTTGGCTTGGAGGGCAGCGCCAGGCTGGCTGCTCCTGGGGCTGGCTGGACCGGGGCCATCGCCGCCCTTCCCTGTCTGGGCCGCGGGCTCCTCAGCGGCCCGTTAGCGGCCGTTGTGACACCTTCTGAAGCTGTTGCCAGGCTGCAGCAGGGAGCGCATGTAACGGTGTTGGCACCGTGCCGGAGCCTGTGCCCGGCTCAGCCCGCGGCACCTACTGCCTGTAGGGAGCTCAGAGTCCGAGCTCTCTGGAGCCACCGCTGCCTTTCCCACGACACCCGCAGTCCCGCCATTCAGCCCCTTTCCCTCCACATGCCACACCCAAGAACCGGGGTTCTTCCCCCTCAACATGTACTAAGCACTTATTGGGTCGTAAATTAATTCTCACGTCACGTCCACCTCAGGCAGACAGACCAGGGACAGAAAGGCTGGCGGTCTCTGGAGGGCTCCACCCCAGGAGAGGGGTTTGAGGTTGCCCACATGGGGGGTACCCCCATGCTCCCCTCCATCCGCGCTGCTAGTAATAGGCCTCCAGGCATGTCATGGCCATTGAACAGTCATTGAAGGGGAGACTCGAGGAGCTGTGCAGCTCTGAGGGCCTCCTCACCACCCTGAACCTCATCTTTCAGTTGGGGTGAGATCCCCGACCTAGGCACAGTGAGGACAAGAGACCTCGTGTGCAGGCCCCGCTCCATCTCTGTGTCTGGCCCACAGTGCGTACTCGCGGGGTTCTGGTTTTGCTGTTGGGTGCTGTCCTCATCTGTGTGTCACCCCTCTGATGCCCGTCCAGGTGGGCGGGGTGGCCTGTGCTGCAGATAGCGAGGGCGTGAGCTTCTCCAAGGGGCCAGCCTCCATGCCAGGTGGGCCCTCTCCCCCTGGGATTTTGGCCACATGACTTGGCCTGTGCCTGCCGACCCCCAGGGTCCTAACCTGTCCCTGCCCCCCCGTGCAGGGGAGCTGGCAGGCCTACGGCAGCAGGTGGCAAGCACAGAGGAGAAGGCCGCTCTGGACAAGGAGCTGATGGCCCAGAAGTTGGTGCAGGTGGAGCGGGAGGCCCAGGCCTCGCTGCGGGAGCAGCGGGCAGCCTACGAAGAGGACTTGAAGCGGCTCCAGCGTGAGAAGGTTCAGGCAGCTGGTCTGGGGTGGGCGGGCTCTGACTTACCTTTACCTGCCTCCGTCTTCACATCTGTGAACTGGAACATGGTCTCCTTTCCAGAGGCCCTGGGGGAAGCTGGGAGGAGCCATGGGGACACCTCATCAAACACACAGATCCCCGGGCCCCAAACCTGGCCCAGCCCTGGTGATCCTGATGTGGGGGGGTGTCAACAACCATACTTTGGAAATGCTGATGGGGTGGGTGTTAGGAAAGCACTTTCACTGGCTCAGGAAGCACTTTCACTGGCTCAGAAGTGCTGTTTGCATAAGAAGCACCCCGGGACCTGAACTCCAGAAGCCCGAGCAGAGGTGTCTGAGAGCAATGATCCTGAAGTTTTATTACCTGGGTTTGCAGCTTGGCCACATACTGGTGATGTGACCTGAGGTTTCTGTGCCTTCATCTGTCCAACTGTAACAATGGAGATACTGCTTGTATAGGGTGTTTGAAGATGAGGTGAGAAGATGCCTGCCAGGAGTACAGCAGAGTGACTGGCACTGGGTTGGTGCCCCACAGAGGCTAGGCATCATTACTGCTTTACTGGGGATCTAGAGTGGGCCCAGTGCAAGGCGGCAAGTCACCGGTCCTGGATCCTGCGGCCTCCAAAAGACAGGCAGTGGCCGCTCCCGGGCGGTCTTAAGTCGCACAGGTCACATCACTCCCCTCCAGCAGGTGGCGCTGACGCATCGGCCAGTCGCAGTTTCTAGGGCCAGACACTGCCCTGAACTGCCCTCCGCCTGAGTGGCCGTTCTTGGCCTGTGGGTCTTCTTGCCTGCTCAGTCCAGGCAGCAACTCCTTTACCCTCCCTTGCTTGCACTTACCAGCACTTCCTGACGTGGCCTCTTCATACCATTAAATGTGCGCCCCTCCTTCTGGCTGCCCCGGCCCCAGGCCCCTGTCATTCGTCATGGCTGGTCCGTGGCCCCTGTCCTCCAGTGCCCCATCCCAGTCTGCCTTTCCAGCTTCTAGAAAGCTCAGACTGCCTTCTGCTGCCGCGAGTCACGCTCACCCTCTCCACAGACCACAAGAACTGGTCTGCCTGACCACATTGCTCGCCATCTCCCCTCATACTCCAAGCTCCGGTGACCCTAAATACAGTGGTTCCCTGGGTGCATGTTTGCTCCAGGCTATGCTCTTAGCCAGGCTTCACTTTCTTTCTTTTCTTTTTTTTTTAATTTTTAAAAATTTTATTTTTATTTTTATTTTTTTATTTTATATTCCGGCGCCTCACAGCTCAGGGCCTGGTTCTGGGTTCCAGTCTAGCCCAGCCTCTGCTGGCTCGGGCCCTGGACAAGCTCTCCGACCCCCCGCCCTGTCTGCTGCTCTGTACAATGGGGCTGCAAGTTGCCATCCCAAGGGGCTGCTCCAGAGAGCGCTCCCGTGTGCCCCTAGCAGACAGATGAGCACTTGGTGAACATGAATGGTGGATAATCGGTAGGGGTTTGGGCCCTGGCGTCTGAGCTGGGAGGGGCCACAGGTTTTCTGGGGTCCAGGCTGTCTGTCCGAGGCCCCGAGGCAGAGTGGGACGCCAGGTCCACTCTCTGCAGCCTGTGGAGTGGCTCTCCCTCGGTCTGCTTGGTGTGTTTAGCGTCTCTGTAAGTTTTAGGGTGCGTAAAGTGTTCTCACCCCGACATGGAGGACCCTCAGCTTTGCATGCGCGTGCCTTGCGGGCCCGGAGAAGTCTGTGCTTTGCCCAAGCACACACAGCGTGTCTGGGCAGAACCTGGGCTCCAACCCAGGCCTTTGTGTGCCAGCCCGGGGCTGGGGTGAGCAGGCTGGGGGTGTGGGGGTGGTGCTCACAGTGCCCGCGTGGGGGCCAGCTCTCCCGGCAGCTGAGCGGGCGGGAGCAGGAACTGGAACAGGCTCGGCGGGAGACGCAGCGGCAGGTGGAGGCGTTGGAGCGGTCTGCCCGCGAGCAGGAGGCGCTGGCCAGGGAGCGGGCGGGCCTGGCCGTGCAGCTGGCCGCCGCCGAGCGTGAGGGCCGGGCTCTGTCGGAGGAGGCCACGCGACTGCGGTAAGGCTTGGCTCTGCCCGGCCGCCCTGGGGGTCTGCCCGGGGCGGGGGGGGGGTGCCCCGTGACCTGCCGTGCTCCCCCATTGGCCCACGGCAGTTACTTAGAAGCCGGCCTTGCTTACCTAGCTATGCTCGGGGTCCCCAGGGGAGCGTGGGCCCCGCAGGGCAGGCCGGCTGGCGCCCAGCCCACGGCTGGGAACCGCAGTTTCCTGGGGCCCAGGAGACTGAGTCCTGGGTCTCACGGCGGCGTGCCCTGCAGCTTGGAGAAGGACACCCTGGAGGGCAGCCTGTTTGAGGCGCAGCGGCAGCTGGTGCAGCTCGAGGCTCGTCGGGAGCACCTGGAAGCCGAGGCGCAGGCTCTGCTGCTGGCCAAGGAGACCCTGACTGGTATGGGGGGCTGTGGGTGCGGGGGAGCACTGGGCCCGGGCCCAGACTGTAAGCTGTCAAGGTGTGCTGGGAGCCTTGGCTTGGAGGGCAGCGCCAGGCTGGCTGCTCCTGGGGCTGGCTGGACCGGGGCCATCGCCGCCCTTCCCTGTCTGGGCCGCGGGCTCCTCAGCGGCCCGTTAG